TCGGAGAATTTCATTCAAAAATTGTTAAAGAACTGATTTTCCTGTTCCTTTTGAGATCCTCGCACAGCTAAGTCCTGCATTAGACAGTACCCAGCAACACTGTTTTCGTTGGATTCCAACACCGATTGTCCGGGAAATCCTAGCAGACTTAATAAAATTTACTATTATAAGTAACTTATCGAAAGAACAGAGCTGATGAAGCGGCTGCGTTTCCAACTGTACTTTAAAAGTGCACAAACGAATGTTGGAAACCTCGTCAACTTCTCGGTTACTTTTTAATCAGCTCTCGGATAGCTGCAGAAGAAAACCAGTCTCACGCGATGAATCACTGGCAAAACTACTCGTTTTTTTTTTTTTTTTTCAAACAGTACGATATGAGAAAACGCACAGCCTCATATTATAGATGGTAAGAGCTTTCTCAAGATCTAGTTGAGAGTTCAAGCTCTCCTGTACTTCTCACTTTCTGGGAAAGTCAGAACATGGAACTAATCAATCAGTTATCATAATGAAACAAACCTCCGATATTCGAAGTGATTGCGGTTGCCCTCCTCAAATGCTCCTTGGGGATTAAAAAAGAAAAACTTTGGACTGGATTCTTATTAACCACCTCGAAATTTACCAACCTCAAAATGAGTTCAAAATAATCCGTAACGTAATTAACCCTTTTCTGTTTTTACTGAAAATTTGGCCTGTGGCAAAAAATTTTTTTTTGTTCTAAATTGTCGGAAAATTTTTTAAACTTCAAACACTTTCAAAAAATTTCAAGCAGTTTCAATGGTTGAAAATTAACACAAACACATTTGAAGAAATTAAACAGCGTGCAGGCTCTTCCGGTTAACGAATCATAACAGAATTGATGCTTTCGGCGGTGAGCTTCGGAAACCACTGCCACTTTGAGAACTGGATGGTAGTACGTATTTATGTGTTTACATCGGAAGCCAGTAGCTAATATGAGGAAAAAGCATCAAAAACGTCTCCAGATAAGCATCCAGCAGATCCGTGCCAAGTTTCGCGCTTACTCATCAGCTCCATTTAGCGGAGTCGAAATTCATCAAGTTAATGCTCACTAGAGATAATCCTATGACTTGCGTTTGTAACTGAGCCTAATTCAACTACCAGGAGTAACGGCAGTAATAAATGTTAGGTCATCTACTGATTTTTATCGCTACAAATCTCGTACTGTCGAGGAATAACTACCAGAATTTTTACCTGCTTCCTTCAAGTCACTACCTAAAGTAACAGGAAAATATTTTTAAGTTGGAAGACAAAAGCAAGTAATATTGAGAAATTAGTAAACATTGTAAAATATCCTGATAAAATTA